GAGGTTATGCTTAGTAGGAGGACGAGGACGAGGAGAGGACGACGACGACGAGGAGGAGAGAGAGGACGAGGACGAGGAGAGGCAGGAGGAAGAAGATGATGAGGAGGAGAAGGGCGAGGAGGAGGAGGAGGAGGAGGAGGAGGAGGATGGGGAGGGGGAGGAGGAGGGGGACGAGGAGGAGGAGGAGGAGGAGGAGGAGGATGAGGATGAGGAGGAGGAGGATGAGGAGGAGGAGGACGAAGACGAGGGGGAGAGGACGACGACGAGGAGGAGGAGAGAGAGGACGAGGACGAGGAGAGGCAGAAGGAAGAAGATGACGAGGAGGAGAAGGGCGAGGAGGACGAGGAGGACGAGGAGGAGGAAATCAAGAGGGAGGGTTTGAAAGGGAATGCACATGTGGTGGTTTTGGTGTTTGATTGGCGAAAATTGTAACTGGATATATGTTGCACGGCAAGGATACAGATATATGGAGGATGTTGTAGATGATTTTGATGCCATGGCATGTTTTGACGCCCCTCTTCCTACAGGATCCTCGGAGGATCTCAACAAACCAGGGGCGATTGGGATGGAAATGGTGGAGCAGTGGGCGAAGTTCATGTCAGAGCAAGGGATCAAGAACATCCTGTGCTTGTTGAATGAGGAGGAGCATACCTTCTTTCAGGTCGAACCCGAGAGACATCTCGTTTCCATCTGAGCTTACATAATCATAACTCTAGAGCCCGGGCTACAAGCAGAGTGTTGTTCAAGCTGGATTCGAAGCGAACAAAATACATCTGGTTGATGTCTACAAGGTATTCTTGCATCCTCTTCTGACTCGTCCATGCCGCTTCATGCTCTCGTGGTTATGCCATGATCGTGACGACAGGAGGGATCTGCTGACGAGATCGAGAAAGTTCTGAAAGAAGCGAAGAACGCAGGAGAGAAGCTTGTCGTTCATTGTACGTGCTATCACAAGCGTGTGCATGATGATTTTTGTATTGATCTTTGGCCTTGTCAGGCAGCGGAGGGGAGGGGAGGACTGGCCTTGTCCTTGCCTACGTGAGGAAATCTCTGTCGTGATACCCCCTAGCTCAGTTCTGTGATTGCTTTGCATCCTGTCAAGCACCGCAGAATGCTTTTTACCTCTCCCCTTCCATCCTCCCATTCCGGAGAGACTGTCTGGGGAGCTGCGATCCCCGTCTTGCCCTTGATGTATTTGTTCGTTATACTTTAACATCCTTGCTCTTTCTGCATGTAGCTCATCCTGTCTATTCTCCCCCCGCTGATCTGCGCGGTCTACTGAAGTGCTGCTTCCTCCAGTGGTTGACGCTCGACTGTGGTCTCGACGCTGCAGCTGCATGCGAGCAAACGGTGAAGACTGCTGCCAAGCTTGGAGTTTCGCGCAAACCGGTAAAATTCTGAGATCTTGTATCGGCCGTGCGACCGCTGATGCTGTCGCGAAAGAGCGAGCAGAAGTTGAAGAACTTCATCGCACAGCGCAAGCTGTGAGGCAGACGCGAAGGAAGGGAGACGCACCGAGAGGGGGAGGAACATTGTTTCTTTGCCGTGAGACTGAAAACGTCTTCAATGAATGATTGGTTGTATGCCATGTAAAAGATCATTGTTGATTGTTGTGTTGCTTGTATGTCATGTAAAAGCTCATTGTGCTCTCGGGATTCAGCGATGGAAGGGCACCCCAGCATCTTGCGTGATGTCGAGATTTCCAGTGTTCAAAGCCACTCGAGGTTGCAAACCCGTTCTTGATATTTTAGCCCACAATGCTCCCATAAACAATGAAGAATTACGAAGCTTCACAGGTTATGAGCTCAAAGGTAATGCATTTCAACGTGTTTTCATGATCGTGCAAATGTCTCTGGTCTCCTTGACTCCGTTTAGACTGAGACAGCGCTTCATTAGGATCTTTCATTCGAACAATTTTTACAAGTTATATCGCACAGGCAAGAAACATGCGTCAGCTCAGTCTACTTCTCTTAGGTACGAGTCCTCATCACTAGTCTCATCATGGAAGCCCTTGCTCCTCGTTGTGTCGAATTCCATGTCATCCAAGGGGTCTCGATGATCTACCGTGACGCTCTCGGCCGAAAGCTCCTCGAAGCACATCTGTACAGAGCTGTTCGACCCGACGTGTATTGACTCGTCGTCGGAGGCAGCAGCGACCAGGGACTGCATCGTCATCATCGCTTTCATTACCACTTCCTCCTGCTCTGACTGGACAAGCGCTGCTTCCTCGCTCCATGGACTCTGTGACGAGGAAGCGTGCTCGAACAGCAGGCTGACGTCATGGAAGGAGAAGCAGGTGAAGGGCAGGCAGTACTTCATCCCGGGCTCTGCCATGATGTGGTTCCAGAACGAGCTCCCGTCACTCCTGTACGATAGAACGCACCGCGAGCAGCGCTCCGATCCTCGAAGCGCTTTTTGTACAGCTTCAACATCCTCCAAGTCCGACGATTCTCCCGCGAAGAAATCCCAGCGACTTGACAGGAGCTCTGATCGATCCCTCCCAACTAGCCGGCACATTGCATCCGACACGAACACGACAGGGAAGTCGTCTCGGGAGATGTCAACCAGCATGCATGCCGGAATCTCCCTGCCCATGGAGTTGAGTAATGTGGCAGCAAAGCAGTTCCAGTCTTCGGCATCATTTGCTGAATCAGCTTCGATAGGATCGTGCATTTTCGCCAAGTTCTCAGAGCAAAGATTTTAGAGCAAACCTCTTAACCGAAAGATTGTTTCGCAACTGAAAATTCTCGGATACGTCCTGCTCGACTTGTGGACTGCCGAGCTGGTTTATCTTCAGCAGCCGTCCTCTTCCTTTTCCTCTCTCTGTCTCTGTCTCTGTAACTCTGTCGCTCTGTCGCTCTTGGCTCGTATTTTCTTGTTCGAATCGATGATTTCTCCCTCTCTTATATCCTTTCCTCCTTCCGCTCCTTTGACTGGGTCTACCCTACCACCGAAAACCAATGACTGTATCCCAAGTACCCACCAGATTTCGAAATATTTGTTCATATTACGGGTATATTTCCCAGATAAAATACCGGTACTACAGCATATTTTTCGTTCTGTACCGGTCCATTTGCTTGCGACGTCTTCGTACCCCCACCCCATCTAAAATGAACCTAAACCGATAAACTCGATTCGCCATCTTGGGTAAAATAGGTTTTAAGAATAGGCCGCTGATGGATATTGAGTATGAATAAGAGTGTTTTCATAATTATATCGCTCCGAAACGTCTCTTTTTCAGGCCCACCATGGCATCCACATGGACCCCTCCATGCTACCCTACCCTTCCCTTTGACAATATAAGAAAAAGTTCCGGAGATTTTATATACCCCACCCTTTCGGATCATCTACGATACGATGAACTACACCTGGTGGATATTCCAAGGAGGGGTAGGGGGTAGTGGACAAGAGGGCGCTTCGATCGAGTCATCCGTCAGCCAGAGCTAGTAGTAAACTGTCACCTCTGTCTATCACGGCTCTGAGACGGCCGATAACCCCCACCCACCAAAAATCTGTACTTCTCCACTCCAAGGTAGGGGTAGACATCGCAGCCGAAGGGTTGCTCTTTCGGTTGCGGCTGTTTGAGTTAACTAAAGTATTTCAGGGCCTGCCTCAGAGGAACCATTTTTGCCTACTCTTTACCCCTGCTTTTCGCTATATTCGGGGGGGTACATTCAACTTTGATCAAATTTAGGGATTTCGGGCCTCCTTGGACTACCCCACCACCTGATTCCTCTGGGAATACAAGGGCTGATAGCAGTCAGTATTGGGACCCACCAGTAAGGGCGTGCATATAATTGTAGATTTGAAGGGTGGGGTACTAGAACCTTTGTCCCTTTTGACTCGCAGCGGTTCGCATTGTTGCTCCATAAGTTGAAGCAGTCCTAACTTGTCCTTTGGGAAGGAGGGGTACCTCTGTCCAGAAATTACCCCTACTCAGTAGGGGTAATTTCATATAGGAAGTAGGGGTAGTAGTACATGATGAAATAGGGTGGGGGTATTGATTTGGGCGGTCTATGTCACTCCGACCGGCGCAAGAGTCCGATCGGACGCTATGAGACCCGGAGAGTTCGCAAGGAACAGCAGCCGGAAACAGTAGTAACTTTACTCAAAGTTAAGTTAACTAGTAACAGCACGGTAGGAACAGTAGTAGTACTACGGTACGGTAACAGTAACAGTACCGGACAAGGGAGTCGGTACTGTTCAACGGTTACTCAGCACAAGGGAGTCGGTCGACCGGTGACCTTCAAGTTCGGAACTTGCTTCGACGATCACTGAGTCACCCGGTGTTAACTCAAAGTTAAGTTAAAAATCAGTACGAGGAAACTTTCATCCGAGCCATTTAACTTACGGTACTGGGTAACTGAGCCCGCCGCGCGGCGCGGCGTGCTGTGGCCCATGAGCGGGCCCGGGCGCCGCCGCTGCACCGGCGTCCCGGAGTCCGGGGAGTCCTGCCGCCCGGCCGCCACGCCCGGACTCCGGGAAGGGCCTCTGAACTGATCCGTGAGACTCGCGCTCATAGGCACTGTCACTGAAGTTGAACGCGGGGTGACCCGCCCAAGTCAGACTGGAGGCGCCGCAAGGTGGAGATCAAGTTTTCAAGTTTCCAGACCGGGCACACTGGCAGGCTGCCGGGTGACCGAGCTTCAGGCGCGCGGCCGCAGCCTGAACGGTGCCGCACTCAGCGGCAGTGCGGACCCGCGGCTGACTCAGTCAGCTGCTAGTCACTGAGCCGGGCCGCCCCGGCCTCGCCCGGACCGGGCCGGGACAGTGCCGTGGTGCTGAGCCGCGGCCCCTCGTCCAATCAGCCTGCCAGGCTGAGCCCACCGGGGTCGGACCGTCACCATGGCCGCGTGACACTGGCCCCGAACCGTACCGTACGGTACCGTCCCCGGTACGCCGCCGGATACCGGCGGTACCCGGCCCGCCGGGCCGCACTAGTACACAGGGGCCGTACTAATTTACCGTGAATTCATTCAATCATCGGAGGCAAAACTCAGTGAAACCGTCGGAGGCCCTGCCCTCAGACCGCTAGACGGTAAGGTGCCCTGGCACCGTCCGGGGCCGACACACTGCAGCAGTGCCGGCCCGGCAGTGCCGTGTACAGTCGGATCGGACCGTCGGCAGTGACTGTCCGCCGCCGGAAGCCTGCACAACGGCGCGGCGGCAACTGATGACAGTGCTGCGTCATAGAGTCACAGTGCTCGGCGGCCGCCCGGACTCCCGGGAGCCCAGTGTGCACCAGTGATCACAGTGGCGGGCCGGCCTACCGTCACTCCGCAGCGGCCCAGCGGCTACTTGTGCTCAAGCATGCGGTACCCCATCCACCTCACGCGGCTCTCCTCCGGCTTCGCCATCTCCTCCTCCATGTACTGCAGGATCGCCAGGGTTGGCCCGTCGCCCGGCCGCTTCCTCAGGCAGTCCCGGAGCCTCTGCATGGCGCATTCCCAGTTGGCCTTGGACCCGTCAGGCCCTCCGAGGTAGACGGAGATGGCGCGGGAGAAGTCGCGACGGAACTCAGCGTCTGTGCTGGGAGCAGCTACTTCAAAGAAGGCTCTGCTGGACTGGAGGGAGGAAAAGTCGATGTCGTCGGGAACTGTGCCTCCCCTGCTCTGCATCGAGGGCTCGTCGAAGGTGTAGAGGTCGATGGGAGAGGAGCTGCCCTTGACAGTGACCCGGTCGATGAGGCGGCAGAGCCTCTTGATGTCCCAGGAGAGGAGGCCGACGACGTCGCCGGACATGAGGATGGAGACGCCGTACTGCTTGGTGGCTGCCTCGAGGCGAGAGGACATGTTGACGTGCGGGCTGAGGGAGGCGTCAGAGAGGACAAGAGGGGAGAGAGGGAGGAGAAGGAGGAGAGAGGGAGGAGGAGGTGGTGGAGGAGGAGAAGGAGGAGGATGTGGTGGAGGAGGAGGAGGTGGTGGTGGTGAAGGAGGAAGGAGCGTTTGGAGTTCTGGTGGAGGAGAAGAGACAAAAAAAATGATGAGCATGAGGCAAGTTACCTGAGATAGGAGACGTCGACCTTGTGTTTGGAGCCAATTACACATTCAACAGCCCAGCTGAGCCAATCACAGTAAGACCCCAGGGAGAACAAGGAGGGGAGAGGGGAGGAAGTGGGAGAGGAGGGGGAGGAAGTCGAGGGGATGACAAAGGGGAGGAGAGAGGAGAAGAAGACATCGAAGGAGGAGCAGAAGGAGGATGAGAAGGACAATAAGGAGGATGGGGGTGAAGTTGAGGGTGAGTAGAAGGAGGAGGAGGAGGAGGAGGAGGAGGAGGAGAAGGAGGAGGAGAAGGAGGAGGAGGAGGAGGAGGAAGAGAATGGAGGGGGGGGGGGGTGGAGGAGAATCAGGACGAGGACGAGAAGGATACCCGAAGTGCAGACCGAATCCCATCCTCATATGCCCGTCCTTAAGAACCTCCTGCGCAGCCTCCAAGTTGATGTGCTGACTCAGCCGCTCGTCTCTCGACATCTCTAGGATGCACTCGACGTAAGGACGCCATCGCCGACAGCGATCTCCATGGATGGTGATGTTTGTGTTCGTGTGCTTGTGTGTGTGTGTGTGTGTGTGTGTGTGTGTGTGTGTGTGTGTGTGAGGGAGGGAGGGAGGGAGGGAGGGAGGGAGGGAGGGAGGTGAACAGGATGGGGCAAGAGGAGGAGGGCGAGGGCGAGGGCGAGGGCGAGGGCGAGGGCGAGGGAGAGGGCGAGGGAGTGGATGAGAAGGAAGAGAATGAGGAGGAAGAGGAGGTAGAGAAGAGGGAGAAGAAGAAATTGGCGTCATCGCACCAGGAACGCATCCCCGATGTTCTTGTTGGGGTCGCCGTGGGATCGTATCACACAGTCATGCAGCAACCTGGCGACGCTGTTGACCAGCTTGACGACATCTGCCTGCAGTTGCTCCGTGAGGAAGGTAAAGTTCCGGATGTCGCAGAAGCCGAAGAAGGCGTTGACGATCGAGCCAGGGCGGTTGGTCGCCAGCGCCGTCATGGCGCCGGTGGCGAGGCTGCGGGAGATGACGCTGGCCCCAGCCTCGCCGAAGCCCAGCTGAAGGAGGCGGGCGAGGCTGAAGAGACCTCTCTCGATCTTCTTCATCTGGGGCTGGAGGTGCATGTCGCAGGACAGGGGCTCGAGGGGCGTATCGACCATCTTGGTGATCTTGTTGGCGATGCTGTCAAGCGGGCGCACGATCTGGTGCCGGACGATCCCAGCAAGGCTCCATGAGAGGAAGAAGAGGACGGAGGACACGAAGACTGCAGTCAGTGCTCTCAGCCCAGCTGCCAGCCGAGCTGACTCTCTGAACTCCACGTGGGCGATGCAGGGGGCCTGCATGCCGTCGAAGTTGTCGAGGCGTATGGCGATCGCCTCCGGGGGGTAGCTCCGCATGCTCCTGATCTCCTCCTTGTCCCCGTAGACGGTCACCCCGTCCAGCTCGAGGTACAGCAGCCGCATGCTCCTCCTCTCGTACCCGCCCACGTAGAGGTCCAGCACCTTGCCGAAGGACCTGTCAGTCACCTGCCGCCCAGCTCCGGACACGAAGGAGATGCTGACGATCTTGAGGTCGTTTTCCAGCTGGAGGTTGAAGGACGGGGCCATCCTAGCCTGTCCGAAGAGGAGGAGGACGAGAATGGCGACTGCCGCGCAGCAGCGCTTCACGATGCTCCTGTGCAGCGCATGGTCTGTGAACTCCTCGTCCGAGCGCTCCCAAACCAGCTCGAGGGGGATCCAGAAGCTCGAGCGGTCGTGCCTGGGCTTCTGCTGGATCTGAAGAGAGCATGCCATGTGCGTGCCCGCCCTTGCTGCGTGCCAGGAGCGAGCGAGCACGACGATCCTGACAGGGTAGGAGAGGGTCCATTGCAGGGAAGAGATCCAGAGAATGTCGGGGAGGATGGCGACGATGGACATGAAGTCCAGCCAGAAGTAGATGGAGCCAATATAGCGCGGCTGGTTTGTGCTTCTCATGATGAACTCGGTAAGGAAAAACGTCCAGCAGAAGCGAGTCACAAAGGTCACGAGGGTATCGTAGTGCGGGGACGAGCTGAGGTACTGATGAAGGTCGGGGACGAACATGACATAGCAGGTAGCCAGCCAGGAGACGAGGACGACGGTGGAGGAGTTGAGGATGGTTGTGATGTCCAGCCGTTTGGGCGAGACGGGAGGAATCAGGAGGTCTGTGGAGGTTTTGGAGGAGGACCGTCGAGAGGTAGCGCTGACGTGTTTCCAGGATGATCTCCTCCTTCTCGGGTACATCTGCACGTTCAGATCCGGCACTGACATGCTCATATCCTTAGAACACATGATTTTCTTGACCAGAGATAGCTTCCTTGAGGGCTTCGTTCCTATGTAGGGGGAGAGCGGGAGGAGTGAGGAGTTCCTCCTAAGCGCCGAGACGAAGGTCGGGGTGTGAGGAACGGTCTCCTGGTAAGCCTTGGAGAGCCTCCTGTACGAGTTCGAGCTCCTTCTTTTCTTCGCCTCCTGTGTGACGTACCAAATCGCCTTCCTCCATCGTGCCTTGGCCAGGCTGACTTTGGGAGAGGGCTCTGGAGTGGTCTCGTTCGAGAGCGTGTCCTTCTTCGGCTTCTGCTCCTCCCCGGTGAAGGCAGGCAGCGATGCTCGTTGCTCCTGCTCAGCAGCCTCGGACCTGATGACGGGGACATCGAGGGTGAAAGGAAACTCCTTCCTCTTCTTCTTCCCCTTCTTCTCCGCGCTGTCTGGCTTGTCCTCGGCTTGGACCAGCGGGCTGCAATCTCCCATGCTCGCTTCTCCTCAGATCATGGGAGCAGCAGCATGTGTAGGATCATATGATGGAATGAGCCTTCGGAGTCACATGAAACCGATGACGATGCTTTCCAGGAACCAAGGAGGGAGGGAGGAGGGTCGTTTGGAGGAGGCGACAAAGGGGTCAGCAGTGCTCAGCTTCAGGGGATGCAAGCCAGATGTAAGCCAGTCTATCTTCAGGTTTTTGTTCAGTCTTTCAATGCTCCTGCACTTTCAGTCATTCGACATGATCGAGCCTTCCACAACACATGTGCCAAACATGCACAATGTCAGTGCCATTCAAAATTACAGTATTGAGCAAACTAGTGTGGAGCAGGAGAGGAGGGAAGCAACATTTCCGACAAAACAAACAGTTCAAGTCTTCCTCTGCACCGCTATTACTCACTACCCGGATCCATCAGGAAGCGCAACTGTGGCTGCCTTTTTCCAGCTACCAGTTGTAAAACACCAACACTTTGCTCCTGCTCACTCTCTTTCTCCTTATGAGAGTTGCTACCAGTTCCAAGACTCCATCTTTTCATGATGCATATCTTGTGTACCACCTCTCGCATTCTCTACCGACCTGTCGCATCAATTCTCTCCTTCGGTCCTCCATCGATCCCTCACTGCAGCCTAACCCTACCCTCGAGAAATGCACTGGTTGGATCGGTCTTGCCTCTTCCTCCCACCGTTCTACACCGGCACCCTTGTAAGGATGCCCCGCTACTGAGCATCTCCCTCCTCCTGCTCCCCTCCTCCTCTCCCTCCTCTCCCTCCTCTCTCTCCGCGCCCCCTTCATACACGCGCATGTTCATTCCCGGTCCATACTTTTAGCCCCAAAGGGACGAACTTTGAAAGGAGGGACTCCGAAATAACCTCAATATAGCTTAAATTAACTGACATTCAATCAAATTAAGACGAAAGTGAACACAAAGTCGCTAATATTGACTAAAAGTGTGTCAAAAACAGGATATATCATAAACTATTTTAAAATAAGTCAAACAATACCAATAGCTCTGGTACGAATGCTGATTACAATTGATATTATGTAAAAAAGACCGCGATAAATCTTATTTTCAGTCTTGTCTGATGAGATTACTACCATCATATGACTGGATATGCATTTATTATAACAGTTTTTGTTGCTATAACTATATGAGACTTTATAAATCCTACAGAAATCAAAACTTCTGGTACCTATCAAAAATGTTCCAAGACTCCGCCTGCCCCCCGGGCCCCGGGCCCGGGCGGCGGGCCCGGCGGCGGCCGGGCGGTCCGATCACCGTACCGTCGGACCGTACCGCCGGCCAGCGGCCGGCCGCCGCCGCAGACTCCGGTCGCGCCAAACTTGGAATTCCGAGTTCAACCCTTTACTCAAAGTTAAGTTAAAAATCAGTACGAGTTCCGAAGTTCAACCCGGGGTGACCGTCCGGTCCGTCACCGTGGCCGTGACTGACGCCGGGTCACTGAGTCACTCAGCGCCAGCCGGAATGAATGAAAAATGCCGCGTGCGGTTGCGCGGCCATGCCATGCTGTCACTGCCAAATCAGTCACTGCCCCGCTATGGGCCGAGCCTCGGAGTCCGCCGGAGTGTCGGACGGTCCAACTTGGCAGACGGCCGCCGGCTTTGACCGTGACGGTGACACTGAGTTAGTGACTTGACGTTCGGACGGACACGGGTGACGGTAAACGGACATGACTCCCGTAAACGGACTCACCGTCCGGTACGGTACGCGCCGGGCGCGGCCGCGGCGGCCACCCGGGCGCCGTGCCACGACGACGGTGACGACCGTGAGCTGCGGCGCACTCCGCACATCCGGAGTCCGGCGGCGACCGTATCGGACGCGGCGCCGGGCGGCACGGTTCGGCGGCGCGGCCGCGCGCGGCGGGCGGGCATCATGTGGCATGGCATGGCGCCCGGCCGGGCGGCCGGGCGCGGCGGGCGCGGCGACCCCGGGGGCCCGGCCGGCCCGGCTGACGGTCGCCCGCCCGGCGCCGCCGCGCCGCCAGGAAAAGTTCCGAAGTCACCGAGTCAAGTTCCGAGCCGGGAATTCTCCTCAGCTCAGGCTCGCAGTCACACGGTGAAGTGAACCGCCGGCCCGACCCACGGCCCCGTCGCCAGCCGCTGAGCTGGGATGTCACTGCGGCACCGTGGCTCGGCGGCGGCCCGCCCGGGCCGCGAGGCTCGGAGTCGGAGGGCCGCCCGCCGGCCGCCGGGACGCCCGTGACTCCCGGCGGCGCGGCGCCCGCCGTCCGTCTCTTTTCGCCGTATGGTATGGCCTGTGCGACAGTTACTGAGTGTCCGACGCGAAGTTCAGGGTCAGGGTCAAGCCGCTCTCAGGCTACAGGCTAGGCTCAGAAGGTCGGCTCTGAGTCCTGAGTGCTAGTCGCTGACGGTTTGGAGTTTTGTGCGATTGCAAGTTAACTCCTACGCAAAACAGTATACAATGCTATCATCATTCTTTTACAATATGTTCAGCTATGATACAAGATTAAAATACACTATGATAATACAAGCAAACTGCATTACATGGTCCAATATGGGAAATGCCTCGCACCAACATTGTGAGGAGCTCTTCACTCCTCATTACGAGACAACATCTGCAATATTTAAATGTAGCCGTCTCATACACACGTGGATGTCAATGCCTCAGACAGGCAGATCTGACTGGCGGGAATAGTCAAAGGTTCCATTCGTGTTCCTGGATCTTTTGTGAACCTCCTCCTCCGTCTCTGAAAGACATCTGCCCATGTACCCGGGGAGAGAGGACGGATAAAATTCAGGTCATTTTCGTGCTCAACGACGTTCTCTCCGATGGAGTTGAGGAATATATACTTATTCGAGAACTTCTCATAGCGCTTTGCCCATTGCGGGGCCTGCCAGTCAGCCGTGCTCTCAGCATCGAGGCTCATACTGGATCCATTCGCGCAAGCAAACTGCAAAAAGGTAAGACAAACGATGCGCTATGCATTAAACAGGAGGCTATCGCACCTGGGATGAGATTCCTCGGCAAAGATCGGAGGAGTAGCGTTTAACAGCCCAAGCACCCAAAGGGCGGTGGCTCGAAGAGCTTCCTGATAGCGCATCATGCTCGAGGGATATGAGAACTGTTTGGTGATGCCAGGCAGTAGCCAAGGAAGAGGAGAGGGAGGAGAAGGCAGGTTGGAACAGGGACCAAGAACGGGAGAGGGGCGTGGGTTGATGAGAGGGGAACGAAGGGTGGACGCAAGTTGGAAGGGGGAGATTCAAGGGTGGGGTCATTTACGAGGGAAAAAGGAGGGGAATAGAAGAGGGGTTGTAGATCGAAAAAGCATCATTTGGTCAAAGCATTGTTTCTGTGAGTCAGCAAGAGGAGGAACTATAAAACCACATTTTTTAAAAAGGAGGCGGCCATGAGTCTAACCCCCCACCCCCCTTGGAGAGGATTTTGTTTCGTCATACCCCATGGAAGTATCAGTGATAGGGGATATTTTGTCCGGTAGGGTGGGTGACCCCGGTGTGACGGTGAGTCGCATCACGGTGTACCCTCCACTCTGCAACAATGTTTTAAGGGGCAGTTTAGAATTGTTATAGTAATTTCTTGGAGGCTATCTATGCAACGGAGTTGTTTCAAAAATACTTTTTGGTCATGGAACCCCTCCCTTTTTAAAAGTCTTCTTGGAATGAATCAAAGGCAAAACTAGAGCATTTCAATGAGATACCACCATGTCATGGTATGAAAAGACTTTATTTCAATTTATTTTGATGCATCTATTTATCCAGGATATAAAACTATTAAAAGATATTATATGGCGGAATTAGAGTACCGGTCTAAAGCAGCACATTGTTTCGGATTTCAGAGGGTAGGGTGCTTAGTGAATCAGGTTCCTTCTGGGCTACCCCCCGTAAGGTAATTTATACCCCACCCCCTCCACTTTCTTGGTACCCGTCATTTTATACCACCCACCCATCCATTTCACTCAAAACATAGGTTATCTTCCGGGTGTTCAGAAGCTCCACCATCACCCCACCCCTCCAATCGAGAATCGGTTCATCTTTTCAAGCCTTCACTCAACTCCCAGTGACCGCACAGAGGAAGGGCACGGCAAACCTTAACCCCAGTCACCCCCGC